CCCCCCCCCCCCCCCCCTCCAAATTTAACTCTCACCTAATATGTAATATTTTCTTCCTCTGGCTTCCTTAGAAAAATATAAAAGTGTCCTTTTCATGAAAGACATCGAAGTCCTCTGATTCGCCGCGAAAATGACGTATACTTGCGCAGGAGGACTGGTGTCAACCATTCATTGTTAAAACAAAATGGCGGACTGTTTTAGTGGTCGGTAGAAGAACAAGGGAAAATGCTACGTTTTCCTTTTTAGATCTTATCAAGACAAGGTTTATTGCACCTTTATAGTTATCATATGAAGCATCGATGAAATGTGACGGCGTATTTCTTTGTTCCTCAGTTGATTCTTGGGAATTTAGATTGATTTTGGCTCGTTCATGAAAATTCAAGTCGAACCGCCGTGTACGTCCCTGCATGTGTTATTGTACCAATAGCACACTTAGATAATCGTGATTTCGCCGTCGTAAGAGGTATTCATCGTTCTCAACTTGATTCCCAGCTGTACATTGTATAGTTATGGCGAGCGCTCTTGTAGAAAGTGACTATGAAGATGATGAAATATCTGCTACTACTGAAGCTAAATCGTCTAGGGGTAGTTTGGAAGAAAGTGATGACGATAGTTTAGCTGGTTTCGAAGATGATTTAGATGTAGAAGAGGATGACGCAGAGTTTGACGCCTCTAAAGAAGCTGGAAAAAGTAATGGAAAAGTTTCAGCGAAGAGGAAAAGGAAACAACCCGATCCTACGAAACGAAAACAAATTCGACGGATTCTTCGAGACGATGAGCTAACAGAAGTAACAATTTCTGCGCAAAAGGAGGAGAGAGAACGTCTAAGGCGTCTCGAACTTCAGCGAAGCTTAGCAGCTGCTGCTGCAAGCTCAAGTGTACCACAGAGTGTTTCGAAGGTTGTTGAGAATTCCATTCCTTTAAGTGGTAGCTCAAAGCCCTCATCACCATTGTCTGTTGATACCAGAGAGAAAAAACAGGACCAGCAAGTTATTGTTATTGATAGTGATGATGAAGGGGACACATCATCTTCATTTACTAGTAGTGTAAATTGTTGTCATCCACAGGCAGTGAATGGTAATTTCATTGAAATCATCAGTTCTGATTCTGAGGTAGAAATCGATGAAAGCGATGATGACAGTGATGATTCTGGCTCTCATACTAGACGTGACCTTGATTATGAAAATAGTGGATTGCATGTTGATGACAGTTTAAATCAAGCTGATTCACAA